GTGCAAGAGGCGAGTTCGAATTAGCACTGGGGCTTTCAAGAAAATGTGATTCTCCAGGCAGGAAGCTAACGAGCCCAAAGCTCTTACTCAGGACCTTGAATTCCTGCACTCCCGCTTGAGCCTGTGGTTTTGATGTTCGTTGTTGTCACGCTCTGCACAGGAGAAAGGGGTTATCCATTCTGCGCAGAAACCTCCTCCATGGCATCGACTTTTAAAAAGAGCTTAAGTTGTGCTGCTTTAAATTTAAAATAAAGGCAGCCTCCTGATATTTTGCTTTAATTACCCTTTTAATTCACAGGAAAGTCTCATGAGATAAAAACTCGGCTTCAGAAGTGCCCTGAGGGAACAACAGCCCTAAACTTCAGGACGGTCTTGTGTAACGCTGTCAAACGCTGTTTCTTAACAGGGCAAACTCAAGCAGCACAGCACAGGCAGCCTCAGAGAAAGGAGAGGGCTGCTGAGCAGGCACTTCTGGGTACATTTATCTGGAGAGTCTTGTAAGAGTACACTTCCCACCAGTCCTCTTTCAGCTTTTAAATCAATTGAAGCATCTCAAATTGAGCTTCTCTGATAACTCTGCTTCAGAAATAAAAATACCAACTTTCTAAGCAATGCCATATGCTAAATGTGATCTCTTTTGATATGCATTTGGCTGAAAGACTGGAAAGTTAGCTCACAGTGAAAAACGGAAAAGAGTTAAAGGAAACAAATCTAGCATTTTAGCTGTTAAGAGCCCATACATTGGGGAAGGGTTTCTCTCTTCACTGCAGTGGCACAAAATTCAGCAGATCTCTTTTCAATGGAGATGGTGTTTGCACAGCAGGCATCTTTTGTCTGGCTTATTTTGTACAGTTAGCAGCAGCACCATTGATACCTTTGTGGCTGCTGTAGTAGGAATTTTTTTGTTGTTGTTTTTAACCTAGAAAACCTTCTAATTCAGTCTATCAACAGCAGTTGATTTCGAGTGCACCTTATACAGATGGAGTGTTCATTGTATACGGGTTTTTTCTGAAAAATTTCAAGTTATCAGGGCCCTATACAAACACCAGAATATCCACCAAGAAAAGGCTTTTTCCTCCTATTTTAATACAGGTGTATATGATAATTGTCCAACATAGACACGTTTCCTATCCTGAAAACTTATAAAGTTACATACTCTTAAAACACTTTTAACATGGTTGGAGCATGCCAGTGAACTCTAAAGAAATATATATTGTACAATTCCAGTTGCCTTCCTACTCCCCCCTTCCCTGCAGTCAGACAGGTCCTGCTGTAACAGGAGAAGAGCAGGAAAGAGTCAGCATAGCAACCTGGTTAAAGTAGATTTATCACTCATGGAAACCCCCCTGCAAACACCAGAAACATGCCCTCAGCATTCAGACTCGGGTGGGTTTTGCCGTTGTTGTTTTCTCTGTAATCCTCAATTGTGCTGCAACCGTATGTGCCAAGGCACAGGAAGTGGAAAAACTCTTTAGGCAGTGTGGTCACTTGCATGCAGCAAGACACAGACACATCCCCATGCAGTTTAAAAGGTTGTTACGTTTATGACACAATGATATATGCGTGCTGGGGGAGGTTTTACATGGAACAAAAACTTTCTCCGTTTCCGTTCTTGCCTAGAGAGTTTGGAATCTGGGGATGGGTACGTTTGATGGCTTAAACTTTTGACGCTGGTTAAGGCACCTGTGAGATAAGGATGCCGCTGATAACAGAAAGAATGAGCTTGCCTGGAGCTGAAGGAACCTATTCTGAATTTTGCCTACGCGGTCTTCTGTCAGTGAGTTGCATCTTTGCTAGAAATTTTTGCAGGCATGCATGCCTATGATCCCAGTTTAAGATATCCTGGACCATATTACCAAGTCACCAACAGATTGTGGTGTAAGACAAAGCTCCTTCATACTTCCTGGAATTTGTTTGTTCCTGCTGTTCTGAGCTGCTGTCTGGCCATGTAGACATCTGTACCTGTGCAGACATCTCTTTAACCTTCATTTCATGATTTAGTTCTTTAAACTCAAAAATTCTTCCTAAAACAGTTCTAACTAAAACAGCATCACTTTCTGTCCACATACAGACCCACCTTAGAAGCATCATTTCCAAGACAATGGACATACTATTACTTTTCACCAGTTACTGTAATGTAATTAAAATAATTCATAGCAACATTTTAGAGCATCACCTCTCCCCTCTGCTAGGAAGGCTGTGAAGGGCAGACAAAACTTGTACCTGTTTGTGTCAGAGTAAGAATAGAGGAATTCAGACAGACTTAGTTATTTTGATTTCTCTATTTAGTAGTTTGGTAGTGGGCGCTCTTATTTTAGAGTAAATAACACAGGTAGTGTCTGCTTATCAGAAGTAAGGAACTCTGCACAGACCTGAGTAAATAACTTACTGGGGAAGGGAGCCACCACACGTGGAGGAATTACATTAAGAATAACCTGTGTAGCCCTGGCTTAATATTTAGTTCACACAGTTCTGCCACTCAGTTTTATACCAGCAAAGATTTTGGCTGATATATTTAAGTCACGCAGGGATAAGGCATCTTCCCCTAACTGCAACACTTTGTGTGTAATCCCCAGTCATATGTGAAGACTGTGTGGTATACAGTCATATCAGCAATGGTGGATTTTCTCCAGTATGTAGATTAATTATTCACAGAGGGTGGGTGTACTATGCCGGTAGACTGTGGTGTGATATAGTATAGCTGTTCACATGGTATGATTTACATTTATGAGCACATTTTTCAACTATTATTTCAGCAAGATGTTCCTATTTTAGATGTTGCACACAGACTCTAACTGTGGTCAACCTGTTGCAAGTTGCTGCCACTGCATCCCCCTTAGAAAGTTATGTTATTTTAATTTCACCACATTCAAATCGAAGTGGCTAAAATGGTGAAAAATCTGAAATTATAGAGCACCTTTGGTAAACTGTTGAGGGATTCCAGCTAAATAACTACACAGACATGACCACACATAGACATGCTTGGAAAGAGTTGAATTGGTCACAGCAGTGTACAAGCAAGACTCAAGATCCTATGTGGTACAGGGCAAACGCATCTGAATCCTTTCCATTCTCCCCTCCTGTTACTTATGGCCGAAATAGGCAAATGTGCCACTGGCTTTGCCAGTACAGAGGCAGGCCCTGCTTCCAGACCACGTCCTGCTTGTTGGGCTCTACACAGTTTAGCTCTGATAAGCCTGAAGAACTGTCCTTCTGTGCCTTACTGTAAGCTCAGGAGCTAAGGGTACTGATGTGAAATAAAGCTGTTTTCCTTTGCTTTGCTTTTAGCCTGAAATGATCCTCCTTATTACAATCAATCATGAATGGTTACAGATCCCTTTAAATTCCACCTCTGACAAGTTTAATCCTGTCCTAATCACAGCATCCGCATGTAACCTCCTTGCGCTGTATCCTGGAAACCAATCAATGTAGAAGCCAATCTTTTTAAAAAACTGGTAATTATATGCATCTTGCAACTCTATAGGGATGTAGAAGAATTAGTCATAATCAAATCTGTTTTCTCCTAATTCTTTATTCTCTTTCACGTCCTAAGTAAAATGGAAGCCATTTGCTAAAATACTGTTTGTAATTAATACTACATGCAGTGTATTGAAAATACTCAGTCATTTGAAGCACATCCAAAATTTAGAATTTAAATACTAGAAGCCTTCAGCCCTGCAAAGCCCTTCTTATTTATGTTTAGAGAAAACTTATTTTTTAATTTTGTATCTTGTTTGAACATTTTGCATCTGGATTTTTTCTTCTTCGTTTGGAAAACAATTAAATGGTCTAAAGGATGGTTAGCTTTGGCAAATACAGCTCGAAAAAAAAAAAGAGGAGGGAAGTGAATTGAAACATAAGTGGAAGTGAAACATAAGCCATGCCAAATGTATGCGATCTGTTCTATCTGCTGACTCTAGTCTTTTAAACTGTTGGCAGAATAAATACCTATTGAGTGCTGATATAAATAGAAGATAAGAGGTGAGTGAAGAAAATTAAAGATACCTAGAACTTATGCCAAGCAGCCTAAAGATGCATTTGGAAGTGTGGGAGAGATTCTCTGTGCTTCTTTGTTCCTTCTTTCTTCGATAAAAGGGATTTTTAAGCCTTGATCCACCTGTGTTAACTGCAGCAGCAAAGCAGCAGCTAGTTTGCAAGGAGTTAAGCATCTTTTAAAGCCATACAGACATCTCTGGGATAATAGCTTTGTAAACAATACTACACTGAATGGCAGTTTTCCAGCCTCCAAATAAATACAAATGCTGAATAAATCTAGATGATCTACATATCAGAAGTATTTATTAGTAAGATTAAAAATCCTGTAAAGACTTTATACCTAACCAAACATAAGCTTAGTGACCTCAGCCAGGCCTTAAAAAGTCTCTTTGCCATTGATAGCATTGAATCTCCTCTGTGATTTGGGAACCCCACAACTCAGTAGAAGAACATTTTCACCAGAATACTTGTCTTGATTAAAAACTGCAAGCCTCTCCACTAAAAAAACTTGGTTTTATTTTTACTCCAAATACCTCCAAGGAAGAACGCTTACATTGCTCAGTCCATATAAAAATACACATAGGAACTACAACATATTTAATGAAAAACTAATCATCCAAGTTGCCTAAGTGCTTTTGTTAAGTGTATTTCACAAATATGCTGATTTGATATGCAGAGAAGCTGGGATGA